GTAGTAGCAGCAGCAGCAGTAGAAGTCACAGTAGCAGTAGCTATCATTATTGATCATTTCCTTTTTAACATTAGCATCATTTATGCTAACAGTCATAAGCTTGTGCTTTGCTTGTATTAGCGCGGACGCGCGATGAGGACTGTATGCTTTACGCTTAGGGTGTAGGTTCAGGCTTTAGAGTCTAGGGTGTAGAGTTTACGACGATTGCTCCGTTTGGGGTTTTTGGGGCTTGGGAGGTTGGGTTCTGAGGCTTTCGGGTTTCAGGTTTACGTCTTGGGGCTGAATCCGCGGAGGGTCTGGTTACTGCTGCTTGTTTGCATGGGGCTCCCTTTGGGGCATCATCTGGGCAGCAAGAACACCCTTCATGCAATCCGGATCGAAGAGCAAGATGAGTAGTGTTTGTCAACAAGAACCAGCATAAGAGGAGCAGGCTCTGAGTAGTACCAAATATGAAACGAGAGTTTCGTGACATCAGACTAGCTGGGAAGAGGCACGCGTAAGCATCAGGTTTAGAGCGACTATCATACTGCATCTTCGAGGTTTATCGGTTTTAGTGCACTGCAGCTCTGGGAGCGAAAAAAAACTTAATAGCTTTGCGTGGCTTGCTTCAGTCGGAACCGACGAATGGCGTTGGTCTGAAATGGCGCGGGCTTGTGCGACCTTCGGGACATTTTTGGAGGCCCGGGGCCGCAATCTGGGCCTTAGCAATACATGGCGGAGAGGGGGGCTCCTTGAACTGAAACTCGCCTCCACCCTCCAACTCTCACTTCAACTCTCAACAGCCACTGAAATTTGAGCCATGGGTTAAGCTTGGAGCTCGCAAGGCCGAGCAAAGAGGGAGCCTCACTCGGTCCTCTATCTGCACGATGCCGGGAAAGTCGCTGAAATTCTCGACGGACTTCGGCCCCTGCTCCATGCTCAAAGGCACTCGAAAAGCACTCGAAAAGTTCTGGCCAAGGATGACAAGTGCCTGCTCTGATTCTGCTTTGCGTCTGCCCGCATTTGCGGCAGCAGCCCAGCCTCGTCGTTTCTGCAGCATTCCGCGCAGTGGAAGGGAAAAACTGTAGACCAGAGCGACACCATGCCACATCACAGCTACAGCGCTGACGATGCTGTGGCGACCGTAGTACGATGTAGTATGTCGCGTCAGGTTGAAGTTCTGAGTAGTCTCGCGCAACGCAGATGCGAGCCTTTTGTCTGCTGTCCCTGTACGTTCTCACTATCAAGCTTGCAATCTCCAGCACATCAAAGGTGGGGCTGGGCCTGCGGGGTTTTTCTTGCAACGTGCAATGCTTGCACATGAACCAAAAGCTTGATCTGAAAATCAACGGAAGGCACGGCTGGGAAGAAGCTGCAACAGAAGCACATCAGGGCCAGTAAACAGCGTTAAGCCGTGTTAAACCCTAAACCCGCCAGCAGCCAGCTTCCACTTATGTAGCTGCTCAGAGACAGCTTGAGAAAGCGCACCATGATCGAGTGATGCCGTTGAGCTCGTCTTCCAATCTGTAGACGACTACCACATGATCCTGGCAAGCGTGGGGCTGCTGGAAGCTCCTTGAGCCGTTAGATATACTACACTATTCATGATTTTGTGCTACACTATACTCTCTATACTATACTATACTATGCTATGCTATGCTATGCTATGCTATGCTATGCTATGCCATGCTATATAACATATTGGGCGCAGGAATCCCTACAGCAGGTGGGTTGGAATGCCACACAAGCAATTCTTCTCGCCATCATGCGGTAGTCGTTAGAAGTGCGCTGACGAAGAGTCCTTGCCATCCACCGTCAGGGTCAGCTGGGTGAACTCCTCTAAGTCACCGTAGTCTACATCTCCAAACCTCAGACATTCCAGCTCCCACCATCACCAAGGCCAGCAAGAGACTTTCCTGAAAAGGCTGGAAACTCGCCGGCTGCTCTCGTGTCCGACAGAGAATGTCCGTCCATCCAACTCAAGCTGCCACGATCTCCGAAGCTTCTCGCCCCCACTGTGGCAGTCGAGGCACTTGGGATGGACCAAGCTCAGCCGACAGGGCGGATGTTCCCGCAGCATCTGGTCCAGGACCTGCCAAGTTTTCACCAAGCCTCTTATGGCCACTGCATCAAACCTACTACGTAAAACTGCAATGCTCCTTGGACTTCAAGCCATTCCAGGGAAGCACAGGGCAGGTCTTTAGATTGTGGGATTGCTAACGAATCACTTCCGGCGAGAACGACTGAGCTTGTTGTCGTTATAAAGAAAAACGACCGGTTTTGCAGCCACACGAGGGCTGTTCTTTCTCTGGGCTCCCCTAGAGTATATACATTATACATGTGAGAAACCCCTCTCTAGAACATCTCTAAATCGATGAGTGGTTAGCAGCAGGGTGGCAAGTTCTAGAGTCTAGTGGAGGCCACAAGTAGTCATGAATATCGGAAGGTGGGGAAAGCCATGTTTCTAAGCACCCATTGAGCCTGCAAGAATCATAAGTTGTGTGTCCTTCGAAGTATCTGTTTCAACTTGATGCTGTTTGCAATGATACAAGGACCCTCACAGGTTCAGAAGGGATCCTGTTTCCGAACATCTCGCAGTCCTTGAACCCTAAGCCATCCACCTTATTGCATATGCCTTGTTGGCGCAGTAAAGCACGAACCTTTCTGGCCGACTCCCGTATTGTGGGAGTTGCAGAAGACTCGGGCTCGCGCGGTTCATCGGACATACTCGGATCCTATTCTTCACCTTAAGCCCCAAACCATACCCCAAGGTCACAGCCGTACTGCTGCGGAAGACAGGGACTCACCTACATCCCAGGGGCCCCAACCCTCTACAAAAGCCATTCGAGTGCCTTCCCCAGGCCGCCAGCGTTGATCTTCACGTTGCGAATCGGGATGGTGTGCTCGATTGCAGCACAGAGCACCTGGAGCTTTAAGGGCTCGGGCCTTGCGACTTCTGGGCTTGCTCGGAACACACAGTCACCGTGTGCCGAAGCTGCGACCCCAGCACTGTGTTCGCATACCTCAAACGTTTCGTCGACCCTTAGAGGCCGGGCTACGTTGTATTTTTGTATCAAAAAAGGCACCTGTTTTTTGTAGGCTGAACATGGGAAGAGCTCACATCAGCAGAGTTGGAACACGAACCAACATGTCGGCGAACTTCAATTTTCGACCACGAAACCTTGAGCCCAAAGCCCAACTCTGAAGATCTACCCATCTTTGCTATGGAAGCGAGGACCGCGCGTGCTTTGGAGTCTTCCGTGCGAACTCGCTGATGGGCTCCGGCCTGCTAATGCCACCGCTTTATCCACACCCCCCCCCGTCCAGGTTATTAGGATCCCACTATCTTGGGCCTCTCTGGGGCTCCTACGTTCTTTGAAGCTCCCCAATGGTATCTCAAGGAAACAGAATGTGAGTTCTTTGTCACAGCCTTGTCCGAACCTGCTTCGCGCTCTGGAATCCCGTGAGGCGTCTTCTTGCTTCACTACCATAGAGGCTCTCGGGTCCCGGGCCCCCACACACCCCATGGTATCCCCCCCACCGCCGATGGTACCCCACCCCTGCCGCTTAGAAGTGTCGCCCCACCCTGCCCCTGCTGCGCGGATTGGGGGTGTGCCCTTGCTGCTCCGCGAATGGGGTTGTGCCGCCCACCCCTGCTCCGTGCAGAAAGCGGCATAGTTTCTCGCTTGATTATGAGGGTTGTAAGGCGATGGTGATGGTGGCAGGTGTTCTTTTGTTGGTACTGATGATGAAGATGACGACGTCAATGATGATGTTGAACATGATGTCAAAGATGATCCGATTGTCGACTCACGTCGC